CGGGGAGCCACGTGCATTTTGCGCTTTTTAACAAGGGGAATGCCACACACTTGGCCTTGGGCGAAACGGACCCCAGCCACCTTAAACTGTACTAAAGGGTAGCAGGAGGGTAGCTGCAGATTGCTGGGGCACAGGCACACATTGGTTTCCTACGAGGTATGCCACGGTTCGAAAGGATTCCTTGGAGTTTGTCTAAGAAAACTTTTGCCGCCCTTGGATTATCACACGTATACTCCGTGGCACTCTCTCCTGCCAGCCAGCAGATGGGAGTCCTGCCATGAGTCCTGCTCCTTGCTCTAAGGCACCTCAGGCACACCTCCAGACACCGAGACACCCGTCCAGTCGAACCGCTGCCTCTGGGACGACGTGTCTCGCATAATTTGCGGCACAGTGCACAACAATGGCAGCGCCCTCTGTCGTCCGCCTGTCACGGCCAAGCAAAGCATTAGCATTGCTCGTTGGAGGGAAGGGATGACGCGTGAAATATTAGAAATTAAAAAACACATGACAAGCCGTGCTGGAGCAGTGTTTGGTTCCTGCACTTTGATTTGTCTGCCAGCCGCAGACAATGCCTCTGCGGAGGCCCCAACTCCTGTTAATATCCTTCGCAGGAACAATCGCTGGAAATGCTGTGGAAAGAGGGTGGGGCGGAGTGGACTGGAGTGGTGGGACAAGAGAGGGCAGGGTGGGGCAGGGTGGGGCAGGGTGGGGCCTGCAGGGCCATGCCAATAAATTAGGAAACACCTGTTTCTGGCCAAGGAGAGGCAACGCACTGGCGACAGATGTCCGGGGCAGGGGAATCGAAACTGTTTTTGTAATGAAAATATTACGAGAATTATTCCGCTGCTAGGTATATAATTTGTGGCACTCACCCCTTGCCCCCGTTTGGGGTTTGTGTCTGTAATTTATGTTACGCTTTTTTCTCTATTGCTGCTACTTGGCCGCATTTCGCGGTTTTTTATTGCTACGTGCGGGGACTAGAGAGTAGGAGAAGGAGAGAGAGAGGGAGAGGGAGAGAAGTAACACAGGAACAGGAGCAGACCACCGCCATAATGTCGTCATGACAGACGCGGCCATAAAAGATAATTATGATTCCGGTAATAGGTTTTATTTTTCGCATGTACCTCTTTTGTTCCCCATACAGCGAAACCATTGCCAAAAAGTTGTTGCTGGAGGGGGATGGGTATGGGGATGGCTCGGACTTTGGCTGGCACAAAGGTCGAGTCCCCTGCCCCTGCCCCTGCCCCTCCCAAATGTCTGGGACTTTCGCAGTGTCTACATTTACTTTTCGGTGACCAACGTGGCATAGAAATTATGCGCATTATACGCGGCACGGCGCGCTCCAGCGCCTCGCTAAAAAATTATATCCGCGGAATTATGCGAACCCCAAGCCAGGGGAGAGCCGGAGAAAGCGGGAGTGGGAGATAAAGTGAGAGAATTCCTTTGGGCTCCCAGATACCCTGGAGAGAAAGCCTAGATATTCAAATTGAATGCAATACATTTGGGGTTCGTGACAGATTTGGCAGGACATTCTTTGGCAAATTTAAATGATTGGCAGCTTTATTAATTGTACATTTATGCCGCTAAAGAACTAAAGTCTAAAGATAAGACCTTACCATACAAAGAAAAATTACAATTACAAAATTGCCAAATTTGAAGAACCATTACAAAGGATAGAAACATCAGCTTTGGCTAGATATATCTTCAGGTATCTTCAGATATATCCCATGACAGATCATACAATTTTCTTTTCAATCCATAATCCATAAGCTTTTAAGGATGACAACGCTTCTAGTGCCTAGTGAAAAGTCATCATAAGTATATTGCAAATCTCTATTTTAGTCACGCAGTGGTCTGTTTTAAATCGGTATCAATATACCCCTTCGGAATGCCAATACCCTAACCATCCAGCGCTCTCTCCTTTCCTTTTTTTTTCATTCTCTGAGCCTTTTGATAAATTGCAGGCAAACACAGGGTGGGGGCGAACGGATTAAGATGCGTGTTACATATTTAATTAGCAGCCCATCAAGGGGTAGCACCACCAAGTGGGGGGTTTCAGGGACGTGTTTCCCCGCGATGGTATTCCAATGAAGTTGTCACTCTTTTATGAAGATTAATGCCACCTTTTGGCACAGTTTTCACTAAGCAGTTTTCCGATTTCCATTCAGTTTCAATCCATTCCGTTCCATCTTTCAATCAATCGCGCGACCCGCGGAGTTCCGCAGAGGCGGAAAACGCAAAATGGGGGCGGAACAAAGAGTAATTGTCGTAACATGATAATTGCTTTAATGACGAATGCAAAACGAGACCCCGTGGGGGGCGACCTGTCAGGGCTCGCGTCCCTTCGATGTTGATTAATGTGCTCCATGGAGCTCCATGGCGATGGCCGGATTGACCCAGTTTTCAATTAGAACGGGACTCTGCTGACAGGTTGGAAAATTGGGTATCGGAGCCCGCGTATCCTCCAGGAGGACGAAAATCAAACAAGGAGCAGCAGAAGGAGCAGCAGAAGGAGCTGTAGGAAATAGGGAAATGACAGTCCTGTTGATGTCTAATGGAAAACGTGTGCGGGCATAAAAATGGCCGCTAAGAAAATGCATAAAAATGTACATTTGTGTGCGTGTGTGATCCCAAGGAGCGTAGGAAAGATGGAAGGACATGCAAGGACAAGCGGAAGTCACATACGCAGACCACTCTCGCCCACACGAGTAGAGCACAAAGTAACTTTTCCCCGAACCAAAGTCTATAAAATATTTTTTATACACCAGAGATTCGAGGCAGATACTCGAAGGAGAGAAGGAGTTCTGGGCAGAGGCATACCTACACGTAAATGGAGCTGGAAAGGATATCGTGCTCTGGCCTGGGCCCCTGGCCTCTAGTCCGGGGGAAATTGTTTACACAAGTCATAAGCATTTTTTAGCGAGCCATCGCCTTGGACCTCCTCGTCCCAGTCTCCGTCTCCATCCCTGTCGATGTCGATGTCCCTGTCGATGTCTAGTGTTTGCCGTATAAAAGCGTTTGGCATTTGCATAAACCTTTCCCGCATCGAATCTGCTGTTTGCCCAGAACATTATGATAGGAAGGAGCTCGGCTTTAGCTTCAGCTTCAGCTCCTCCCACTCCTCCTCTCCTCTCGCACACCTCCCCTCTCATTCCCTGTTCGCCGAAAGAAACTTTCGACAACTGCAATAATCATAACTGCAGCAACCGCTCGACATTGATTTCAAATTTGAAAAGAGATTGGCGAGCAGATACATTCCCATTCGCATTGCCCCATCTTGAGCGGCGGGCGCCATTAATGGGGCATTGTTTCACAAGTCGTTCCGAGGCGTCTCCGGCGTTTGACTGCTCGCCCGCTTTCCATTTGAGTTTCCACTTGATTTGGTCGGACCATAAAGCATCTCTCTCTCTCGGACTCGGTCCCGGTCGAAACTTTCCCAAGTGGCGGACGGAAAGCGGCCAAAAGTTTGGCGCTTTAAGTTTTATGTGGAGCGATTCCAGTGGGTCACCAATTGAAACCGATATGCCCTTCCCCGGCCAGCCCTTCCCTCGAAGGTGCCTCTGCCTCTGGCTCTCCCACCGCTAAATGCATTAGCTTTCCATCCCAATAGAATTCTGTGTGTGTTTAGGTGTACTCCACTCCTCGTTCAACATTTGCCCGCCACAGATTAAGCGGGAGAGAGTTCATCGGGGGATGTTCTCCAAAGCGGGAGGGAATTCCCTTGAATTCCACTTGGATTGAGGGCGACTGTGGGGCAGTGAGGGGAGTCTTGCAACGAAAGTAAATAGGTTTTTGTGTGCTGCTGGCAGTTTAGGTTTAGGTTAAACGATATTTTGTACCGTGACATGTTTGTGCCCGCCGAACGTTGTCGCTGATTTTGATCCATTCGCCGATGATTGATGACACTTAATTGATGAACATCCCATCCATCCAACAGCTACCATCTCCCCTCCTGCAGGACACACACTGCAAATATTTGCTAATGTCTGGCTTAAAGTGGCCCACCGCCAAAAGGAGCTTAAAGTCTGCTACCAGCTGCTGACAGGAGCATAATCAGGAGCAGGAGCCACACCCGTAAACCGTAGACACGGACACGGACACGGTCTGGTTCTGGTTCTGGTTGTGACTCCTGGCTGTTGGACACTTTCCAGGTCACAGGTGCTTTTGTTGTCCGCATTAGATTCGGTTCTTCTGTCCATCCCCCACTCGATCCCACACACACACACACAAATCTCTGGGCCCCCAGCCCCTGCCCTGACATTTGCTTTGCATTTGGTTGTGCTTTTTGTTCGGCTGCTCTGCTCTGCTCTGCTCTGTCCATTTGGCTGTAAAATTTATTTCATTTGTCCAAACCCAAACCCAAACCCAAACCCGAACTCCATCCGCATACGATCCCGCACCCCGCATAGGCATGACGCTGACAGTTTTATGGCAAAGTTAAGCCGATATCAACGGCAGGACATATCGTCCTATGACCCGCCTGCGTCTCCATAAAAGTGTAAAATTTAAAGCCTTTTCCGGTCATACTCGTATGTACGTACTCGTGCTCGAACTCGTACCTTTGGGCACACGCACAACAAGTGGAACGGCAACGGGCAACGGACCTCTGTTCGTACACAAAATGGTATTGTATTTAGGTTTATCCACAAAAATGGAATCCCCTTTTCAATGGATTCATTCATGGTTAAAGCAGATAAAAACGACTGAGACAGAGAGAGAAAAAGAGAGTGAGTGAGAGAGAGCGCGCTGTGTGACCAGCCCAACCCGATGATTGGGTCAGCAATTGTTCCCAGCATTAACTGGTTAAGCTCTCTCTCACGCTATAGCTATAGCTTGAGCTCTAGATATTATTCCCCACTAATCAGATATACTTCTTTTGTGTTGTGCCCTCTCATAATTCCAATTAATTACTACGAAGAGGCAGTCATTAACTCTGCATCTCTACCTTTTCAAGTTTGAGCTTCCACAGCTACGTCCGTGACTCTACAGTTATTCCCGATACTCAACATTAATTTTATATACCATGGAGTACAACGTCAAGCGACATGCAGCATCTAAATATATGTCTATACATTGATTTGTGTGTTGGTGCAGAACTCCAAGAACCATTCGTACTTCTCCAGCATACCGTGGATCCAGCGGCCAAACACATACAGTGGGATGGGCAGGTACTCGTACTCGTCCTCGCCGCTCTTGCCGTTGTAGTACGTGGTGATCTTGACGTCGATCATTAAAATGGCATGCAGCATGTACAGGATGCCGCAGGTGAGCGAGGCAATGGACTGGCTGCGCATGTAGTGGAAGAAGGGGTGGATGGGTTCGTCCACATGGTACTCTGCCTCCCCCTCGGGGGACTCCTCGCCCGTAAACATCAGATGGAAGTCGTGCTCTGCATCCCACATGGTGGTTATCGAGATCAGGGTGAAGGCGCTGGCGGCGGCCGAGGACTTGATGATCTCCATGCAGACGGTAGGCGAGTGGCCCGTGCAGACGCTGATGCTCTGGAAGAGGGTCAAAACCATGAAGACGTAGAAGGAGCACATGTAGCAGTACTGCAACATCTGCTTCTCCACCGGGAATATCTTCAGATCGATGGCCATGAACCCAGTGATGTGATAGGCCATGCAGAACATGTTGAACACATTCTCCAGGGTGTAGAACACAAAGAGAACGGGCCGCAGGGCGCCAGCTGACGCACTGGAGACAGCAGTGTCCACTGTCATCGTGTTAATGTGTCTCCTAAAAATTTGATTTGATTCGTGAGTGTGCCTCGGTGTCTCTTGACCGGAACTATAAGATTTGATATATTTCCATATTCGATAGATCCATCAAGGCCTCCTCCGTCATCGATCAAACGCTTCCGCTGCATTCCATTGCCAGAAGCATCTCTTCCGCTCCCACGAGCGGCACGTTCTGTGGTGACTCTCAGCCCGCTGCCAGCTCTGCGGTCACGTCTGCTCTGCGCCGGTGCTCTTCGGTTTAATTAAATCGGTGCGTGTCGCTATCAATGCGCGCCTCTTATCAGTGGGCCACAGACACAGCACAACATCAGAGCAACAGAAATAGCAATGGAAATACCAATAGCAATAATAATCATGGTAAGCATTTATCTTTGGCGCCGAAAGCGACAGTTGGCTCTGGCAGTCAGACAGAGCAAGACGCCACAGTGCGAGCCATGAAGTGGAGGATTCTGCTTTTCACACTGATCGCACACTGGGGATGGGTACAGGTCCAATGTCAGGTCGAAGGGGAACAGAGCCACTCCACATCGGTGGCGGGAATGGTGAAGCTCCTCAAGGTGGAGGCACAGCTCATTGATGCCCTGAAGGACTATGCGGGGGAGCTCGAGAAGAAGCTGCAGGCGGTACGCAGGTGAGCCTCCATTCTTGGACCCTCGATTGCTATCGGATAACTAATGGATATTCCCTTCTGGTATAGTGGTATAGTCAGCATGCGGCAGGAAAGCAAAAAGGCGCAGGACTCTATGGAAGAGTACCTTTCGAATCCGTTGAACTCCTTCAGTCTCATCCGCCGCATGCACCGCGACTGGACGCTGTGGCAAATGTTTTTGGAGGATCCGGTGGGCCCGGCGCAGTTAGATCGCATTCAGGAGCTGCGAGAGCAGATGCCCAGCAGCACAGACCTCGAGGAGGCCGTCACAGCCTTGGACCGCATTCAGAGCACCTACGGACTCGAGGTGGCGGACATCAGCCGTGGCATCCTCGACGGCAGACAGTACAAGTGAGCGACTGCCCGATGGATGATGAAGGATGATTCTCTGGAGGATTCTAATCTCTGCTCTGGTCTTTCGTTAGTGTCAGCCTGAATGCCTTGGACACCTATGCCATGGGGCAGACCCTCTTTGACCAAGCCAAATACGTGGCAGCTGCTGGATGGCTCTACCAGGCCCTGGCGTGGCTGGAGAGCAACAGGCTGCCGGTTCCCGTGGAGGTTTCCAAAGGGGAGGTGCAGGCAGTGTACGCCGAGACGCTCTTGAAATTGGGTAAGTCCTGGCATCTAGCTTCGTTCCCTGACCTTCTAATCGATGGCGAATGGCCCACAGACAGGCACGCGGATGCGTTGAAAGTTGTCAACATTGCACTAGGGGGCGATAAGAGGCATGATATTAAATTGTTGCTGAAGAAATCTGAAATAGAAACGCTGATAAGGACGGGCCCCAACTCCATCGGCATAGCACCTACGGTACGTATATGATAAGGTTTCGTATCGTATCGATGGGAGCTAAATTTACCCACCATCGCTTTCCAATCCCCAGTTGAAAAGCACCGCACAGCCCTTGGGTGAGTATGAGCGAGGATGTCGCGGCCTGTTCCCCTCCCCGTCCAAGGATGGCAGGCTCCACTGTGTCTACAACTCGACCAACTCGGCCTTTCTCCGCCTGGCACCGCTCAAGATGGAGCTCGTGGGACTGGACCCCTACATGGTGCTCTACCACGACGTGATCTCTGCCCTAGAGATCAGCCAACTCCAGGACATGGCCACGCCCGGGCTGAAGCGAGCGACGGTCTACAAGGCGAGCGGCCGCAGGAGTGAGGTAGTCAAGACGAGAACGTCCAAGGTCGCCTGGTTCCCCGATACCTTCAACGAGCTCACCGAGCGCCTGAACAGACGCATCGCGGATATGACCAACTTCGATCTGTTGGGCTCCGAGATGCTCCAGGCCATGAACTATGGCCTTGGAGGACACTACGACAAGCACTACGACTTCTTCAATGCGAGCACAGTAAGTGGAGGATCCCTAATGATCCACGGATTACATTGATTCAATCATTCCCTCCCCCTTTTAGGCCGCCAATTTAACTCAAATGAACGGCGATCGCATTGCCACTGTCCTCTTCTATGTGAGTTATCTTAGAAATGGTGATCTTCCAATGAGAGTTTAACCGTTTCCTCTCCTCGATAGCTGACGGATGTGGAACAGGGCGGTGCCACAGTGTTCCCAAACATTCGGAAGGCTGTGTTTCCTCAGAGAGGATCGGCCATCATCTGGTATAACCTGAAGGACGACGGCGACCCCAATCCGCAGACACTCCACGCCGCCTGTCCCGTTCTTGTGGGCTCCAAATGGGGTAAGGTTCTACCCCAAAGAGGAAACTTTTCTTTCTGATTTCACTCTGCATCTTTTCCTCAGTGTGCAACAAGTGGATTCGGGAACGTGCACAGCTCTTCAAGCGGCCCTGTCTCAAGAGGGGAAGTGATTAAATGCTCATGGACATCGAAAATAGTATTACAATGAAATTACCTCATGCCGGAATGAATCTAAAAATAAATAAAGCCACCATAGAAATCGGAAATGCTGTCAATTAAATCCATGACCAGCTGATGCAGTCGATAAGGGCAATCACAGTCAAAACTGCGTCGATAACCTATACTACGAGTATATTTTTCAACACTCTACTCTACTCACCCATCCATTCATCAAAGTCTGGGCAAGTTGAAATACCTGTCACATCAAAGGGGTGAATCAGCAAAGAAAGTATCAAAACAGTAGCAGCTACGTGATGCAGAACTTATCTCGGTATTTGTATAGCCGGTACTTGAAGAACTTGGGGTTATGTATATGTATTTGTTTTGTGGTGGATGTGTGTGTGTAAACCCAGGAGGAAGGCCGATAGGCCGGGTCAAGGTATCGAAGTGCACCAAACTTAAATACGACTTTTCTTTACAATATTCTTTACCAGGATCAATAGCCGAGTCGATATAGCGATGTCTGTCTGTTTCCGAACGACCGTTCTCCCGATGAGCGCCTAGATCTTACGGACTATAAGAGCTAGAGCAACCAAATTCTGTATCCACACTTCTATGACAGCACACTGTTGCAAGTGTGCTCACAGTTTCCCTGTGGCGGTAGTGGCGAAAATAAGGAGCATAAATAATCGAATATGACAAATAAATGACGATGAAAAATGTGCATCTTTTTGCCATCACTATGATTGAATTTACAGCAATATATCGCACATCACTACCCGAAAATGCGGCATCATCGCACGAAAGTTGGAAGAAAAAGATGGCGCCCAAGAAGCAGGCAAAGAAGCGTCGCAGCACTGTATGTATCAAGGAGGAGCAGACCGGAGGAGCCGCTGAGCCCCCCAAAGAGATTTCGCAGCAGGTCGGCCTTCAGTGTAATTTACAACCTGACGAGATATCATGGGCCCAGCGCTCGCAGGGCCAACTCATTTACACGATGACTAAAAATATTTGCAATAGTCGAGTCGAATAAAATAGAGTGCTAAAAAATCACACACATCTGTCTCGTCTCTCATTTTATCACCCCTTCTGCGACACAGGCAGACGTATACCTTACCGTATATACCTTACGACTCGCAAGGTATATTCGGAATCGATAGGCACTGCGATATTAAGTCGATAGGACACCAGCAAAAGTGTAAACAATTGGCAAAGAAATTCCTATTGACGCATCTTTTGATTAGATCTGGATCTTGGATTACGGGACGGCAAAAGGTGAGTTGGCTGGCTCTTCCACACAATCCGATTTCCCAGGACCACGTGGTGGTTGATTTCTGGCTGTCCAAGTAGGCCTGCGTAATCAAAGCATACGGAAATTATTTATTTGTCCAGCTTCCAGACGGGAAATCTATCCTACATTCAAGATGCAGATTCAGTGCTGTCTACTGTCTTTATTGCTCCTGCCGCTTGTTGCAGCAGGATCTCTTACCGGAGCGGAGTACTCCCTCTCAGTGGTGTCGATGAAGCCACTCGTGGAGCTGGAGACAAAGCTGATCCAAAACCTTGACGACTATGTAAAGGCCCTGGCGCACAAGCTGCAGATACTTCGCAGGTGAGGGATACTTCGGTGCACAAGCGATTCAGGTGCAGATTCTGTAAGAGATTCCTTCTGCAGGCACATTTCAGAGATGCGATTGGAGAACGAGAAGGCGCAACGCAATGTAGTCCTCTATCTGTCGCATCCACTCAACGCCTTCGCCTTAATCCGACGGCTGCACGTCGACTGGGTGCAGTGGCGGAAATACATGGAGCAGCCCGTGGGAGGGGCGCAGATGCGAAGCTTTGACGCCTGGCGGGACCATCTCCCCACGCAGTTGGATCTGCAGGATGCGTGCAATGGGATAGCCCGCATTCAGGACATCTACGGCCTCCAGGAGAAGCATATCATGAGGGGACAGCTGGCCGGCATTAAATACAAGTGAGTACAAATACAAGGGAAAAGTGATATATGTATGCCTGATTCCTGCAGCATCAGCATGTCCACTGGCGATATTTTCGCTGTGGGCCAACACTTGTCGAGGACCACAAACGCCAAAGAGGCCGTTCCTTGGCTGGAGGAAGTGAAAAGGCGCCTGCGAAACCAAACGCCCGGACCCCTGGCTGTGGATAAAGCAGAGGTCCTGTTACTATTGGCAGAGACGTACATCAAATCGAGTATGGAGGATCCTTGAAGAGGAACTGCTTCAACTAATGAACCCAATCACCTGATTTTCCAGAGCACTATGCAGATGCTCTGCCCATCCTTGATAGGGCCCTGAAGCACAACATCGCCGACGCTGTGCTCCTGCGTCGCAGGGAGGAGGTCCAGCAGCTGATTGCGAAGGAGCCCAGCACCGTCTTGGATAACGTATGTCCCGGGATCATCAATCATAACATTTTATGACCCATTCACCCGCAGGGCGAGCCCAAGGACAATTCCAAAGTGGCTATATTGAAGTGGGGATGCAGAGGCTTCTCCAGAGAGCAGTCCCCTAAGGCGCTCCACTGCTGC